ACACCCCATATCTGTAACGTAGTATTATAAAAGTGTCACAACGTAAATCAGATTTTGTTAACCCACTTAGAGTGAACTGATGGCACAGCGGTAATAAATGAACTGCGGATTTTGAAGTCGAAATTGGGTATTGAATTACACACACTGCGAAAATGACAGCCAAAATTACAAGTGGTTTTTTTTCATGAAGGGCAGTGGAATTTACTTTTCCTCTTACTTAAATCTCAGGTTCGAGCCTCAATTTTTTCTGTAAGAAAGAATAATTTACAAAATACAATGGAGAAAAGGATCAAATCAAATAGCAGGTATCAAGACTTAGCAAAATGTATGCTTTACGGATTCGAAAAATCGAAAAAGACAAATTGTTCCCGAGTGCAGTGTGAGTTATACACTTGTTGTCAATGATAAAGCACAGATTGTCACGAATTTCAATAATAGAAAGATGATGTTGGGTGTGGAGTTATGATTGTCACAAAGAGAATTAGTAAATGAAGTAAGAGTGTCAAGAGAATTACTTTATTCGAATCCTCGAATTATTTAATTTTTTGCTTTCCCATATGGATTATAAATCGGCTTACAAATCCAATTTTTTCAAAAATAAATTCATGGATTTTGAGGTAAATTCAAAACCTCCATAACATGAGTATGCTGTTCAGTTAATTTCATCGAATGTTTCGTCATACCACCACCATTCATCTGTACCACCTTGCTGGCATAAGCAGAATGATAAGATGAACCAAGCGCATTCAAGCAAAGTAATTCAGAGGGATTAATAGGAAGATAATAATGCAGTAGTGATTTTAGTCAAACTGGTTCCAGTTTTGAAAACAATCAAATGCTTAGGATATTTGTGATTGAGTGGAAATACTGAATGTTTCGATATACCCACAACGAAATCTCATTAAAGAATTTGGGCGCGTTGCTAAAATTTTTTAACGTCCTACAAACGTGGATGAAAACTGAAAAGAGAAAACTCTCTGGTAGGGTATTTTCGCTTAAAATCTCTTTTTTTGAAAAACTCTTTCCTACTTTAAATTTAGCAACTTGATGGATAGTAATAATAAAAAATGTATATTCGCAAAACAAAATACATTATAATAAGCAGATATAAGGATGGTTTGTATAAGTATGGAATTTTTGAAAGTATGTGAGGATTTGGTTCACAATTCTTCATCTCGTGGTGCAGAAGAGCGTGTTTAATTGTTTCTTAAACACATCATTTGAAATTATTGGTATGGTAAATGCTATTATCATTTATGATAAAGCCTTGAAATGCGCGACTTTTCAATTGTCTTTTTCTTTTTCAAACGAAGGCTGGGTACGACGAGTCCCGGCTAATTGTTGAACCTAAATGATTCATGTTATAACGTAAAAGCAAGGTCTTCCTTTTCGCAATAATATTCGCGTTCCGTTGGAAGCCTCGCACTCCACCCCTTTTCCTGCCTTCCTATTTTCATTGTTCGGAAGGAAATTGATGTTGATGACAGTTTAAGTTCAGACAGCTTGGTACGTTGGCGCCAAAGGTAATTCACCTTATACTTGGGTGGGATTTCAATATTGTTCATCATAATATTATTGTCTCAACATAAGTCTTGGGAGAAGAGTACTGAGATGACTATCGATAGCAACCAAAAGGCGAACTTTCCTTCGTTGAAGCTCAACCACGGGATGTGTCAGGGCGTTCCCCCTAGGAGGGCATTCCCCATTTCAAGGAAG